GATCAAAATAAAGTAACAAATAAAAAATGAAAAAAATACGCTATTTCCAAATAACCCACTGCACAGGTTGACAAGACGAGTAACTCCAAACTTACAAAAATAAAAACTGAAATTTAAGAGCAACAAACAAACAATAATTACTTAGAACTATTAAAAATAATAATTAAAATAGGTATGAATGAAAAATGAAACATTAAAACGAAATTCTACTCTAATGATACATACACTGTGAGGGTAATATTATGATACCATATGTATTGCAAAACTATTCTAAGATACATTTTCCATTCATATAAAAGAAAAAGTAACATTATAAATAAATGAAAAAGAAAGGGAGCCTGGGACGCGGCAGAACGGTTTATAACCCTAGCCTGTAATTTTTGAACGAACAGAGCCAAATAAAAAAGAAAAGAAAGTGACACTTGATGGGTGCTCCGATTAAAAGTGAATTGACGGAGGTATTTCAATTTTGTGTGCAAAATATTATATAAAACATGATGAATACCCCATATTATTACAAAAAGACGGAAACAGTATAAGCCGACAAAATATAATAGTAACAACAAACCCAGCAGAATGCTCTTTCACTTCACAGTACGGACAGGCGGCGAGGAATCCTTGGGGTACTGGGACATCAATAACTTGAGCTCAGCCAAGGAAACAATCTTTTTACGGCTTTTGTCAGGAAGAAGTATAATTACCACTCCATCGGTCGACCAGCAGTATTCTCATTTTCTTGAAACCGCTGGTCATTGTATTATATTGCAATTACCATGATATTCGTTATTCTGCTAAAATTTCGTTGCAATGGCAGTGAGTCAAGTGTCAAGTCCAATCAAGTGTCAGTGGAACGGAGTGATGGCATACATTCATTGACTTACTAATGATCGATGTTTCCTTACTAAAACTATCATAGAAATTACTATGCATATCTTATTTTTTGTCACGCTTAACGAACAATTCAGACTTCAAATAAAAAATAATATATATAATATTAGTAGACTTTGACACTTGACCTCTTTTTGTCGTCATCCCACCTTTTAATCACCCTATTCTCTGGTTTCTCGCCGTTTACTTTTAAAATTTTGGATCGGTTTTTAATTCTTTTCATTTGTCACTCTTACTTTGCTTCGTTCCGTCGTCACTTCCATCAAAATTCTCGAAGAGAATGGACGTGTCTGTCGTAAAAACCGCAACCATGTACTTAAATCTTATGAAACATATTTGTGCGAACACAGGCCCTTTTGGGGTAAGTTAAGTAAATTCGTAAGAAGCCTCCTCGAGTGTAATGCGGTAGTCAGGGTTCCACATCAAACGCGATATAGTCTTATGCTGAAGCACATTCAAAACTTATTACCGAGACAAGAATCTGTACCCCCTTCTATCCCCTGGTGTATCCTAATCTGTTCATTTTGGATATGGTGAGATACAACGAGCTACAAGTGCCCAGGAACTTAGTGTTAGCAGCGTTCTTGTAGTCAGAGGTATGCAATGCAATCCGATGCTACTAAGGGTATTGGGCTTATGCGTTCCTGATAGGTACGTGGTACGACGTCGCCGGCCACAGCCACTGGCGGTACCGTGTTGAAGGACCAATCTCATGACGGAATATCAGCTAACGCATACATTGCGCACCCTGAACGAAATATGGAATATCTGAATCGAATCTGAGTGAATTGACAAAGATAGCGCTTAAGTAATTTTGCTGGTCTATTGCATTGGGTGGATAACTTATAAAAATAGGGTAAGTTTCGAGAACGCAGCGAGTTGCCTGTGCATTGTTGCACTGTTTTGGGTACAGGTTTGTGATACGGATGGTGCATTACGTTGTTTTTAGTTGCATTGTTGTACCTATATGTTATAATTATTAATACAAAGATCGAACACTCAGAAAAAACACTCAGAAAAAATTCCTTCGATCCGGTCGGATTCGAACGGACGTCTTCTTGCGTACCGTGCCAGACGCTAAACCAACTAAGCCACGGAACGAACCAACGAACCTCACAAATTTTTCTATGTGCTTGCGTCGTGTCTTTGTACTTGGTCTTTCAACGACTTTTTAGTCGTAGCGCCATCTATGAGAAGTCTATGACAGATTTATCACCCAGTTAGTACCTTTACAGCTACCAGTCTTGGCGAGAGATGTCGCTATTCACTCTATTAGTTAAATTTTTATTGAATTGATATTCAATTATTTTTTGTAAAATTACTCCACTTGTTTGTTTGTTTTGTTGTTGTTGTTGGAAATAATTTTTTCTCAGTGTTTTTTCTGAGTGTTCGATCTTTGTATTAATAATTATAACAAACTAGTGGAGTAATTTCACAAAAAATAATTGAATATCAATTCAATAAAAATTTAATTAGTACCTATATGTGTTTATTTGCATCAGTTTACCGGGTTATCTTTTTGTTTTATTTAAAGAATATATATAGGGACTATAGGTTTAGATGTTGTTAATTTTAAATATGTATTTTTTTTCTCATATGTGTAACAGTTAGTCCCTCAAAAAAATTAAAAAAAAGAGTCACCTTGTTACGTTTGATATTTAGGGAGTTTTTTTATATTATCAAACCTGTTTTATGCCACAGCTTTTTCCTACTTTGTTCTTTCTACCTTATTACAATAAAATTATGTGGATGGAGCCTTCTCTTTGATTCAGTCAAGGATAGGCTACAAGACTCCACTATCGACACGCCATTGAAAAGCAGAATACAAAAAAATGGCAGTTGAATACTAGCTCGATGGCTAGTCACTGAGAAGTAAATACTCTTAACCTCTAGCAGAATATCAAACACACAAAATTCAGCCATTGCCACACCGACACACATTAATATGATTTAAAAGGTATCGGAAATGAGATCCTTGAAAATGTTGTAAACCGCTAATGTGCCGTGACCAGGATCACGGCAATAAAATAGAATACTTCGGTCCACATAAATGTATTCCATAAGTCAAAGGAAAAAGGCTGAAACAAGAAAACGGGTATAAAAAAGCAGGTACAACGCTACAAAGCACTCCCTACTAAAAACGAGTGATAGAGTTACCCTGAAAGAACCGAGTTATACAATATTACTAGGTTACATTGGTATTAAAATTGACACATGATTTAAGTTGGGAACTCGTAAAGGGATCAAAATTAGACGAGCAGCACTGCTCGCTTCAGCGATTGAGCAAAGTGACGACGGAACGAAACAAAATGAGAATGGCGAGACAAAGGAATTAAAGAATGATTCAAAATTCGAAAACAAGTGGCCAGGAGTCCGAGAAAAGGTGACAAAAAGGTGGGATTACGATTCAAGGTGAAAGGGTTGTAACCCTAACTAGCCGTGAACAGGTTCACGGCAATGAAACGGGAAACTTCCCAGTCCACAATATTTATTAAAGAAGTAAAGTTTAAAGAAAGGGCTCTAAATGGGCCGAGTAACTGAATTACAGATTTAGGTACATGAAGGCTGTAGACATAAATTATTACACATGATTTAGCTTATTAAATGATTACAAACGTAGTAAAGAACCAGAATTAGCGATTATTCGCGATGGAATTTGGAATAGCCCCGACAGTTGTGGCGGTCGAGATGGGAGTGACCGTGGTACGAAAACAAAATGAGAAAGTGAAGGAAGATGGAACAATTCAAATTTAAAATTTAAATACATGTAAAATAAAAAATTATAGGATACAAGCGGAGAGAGGCGATACAAAGAGGTGAGATGAAGGAGGTCACACCGTAAAAAAGGAGGTCACATCCTGATCACTTACCGCACCACACCGAGCGTCAACCAGTCAACCGCTGCAGCGACAGCGGCTCGACTGTCCTCATGTGACATAGTCGAAGCATTTTCATCGTTGATGGAGGAGACTATGTCGCCATTGTGGAGACCTGCTTTTTCTGCTGGAGTGTTAGGCAGCACCTGGGTTACAATTGTATTAATTATTTTTTCACCTCACTAGCTCGGAAAGGCTTTCTTCCTCATTAGAAATCTTGAAGATTTTGAAATTCGAACTAGACGATGGACTGTGGTGCACCTAACTTTTTCTTTCGATGAAAAAAAAAGATAATGGCACGTTCTATTAAGCGATTTGTAGTACATTACTTATTTATGTAACATAACTCCGTTGGTATATTTTATTCTTATTATTCTTAACATTAAATAGACAATGATAACTAATTGTGTTTATTAAATTATTTTAATTCGTCGAAAATCTAAAATTATTTCAATAACCACTTGATCACACAAAATAAAAGTACAAGCAAAAATAAAAAAATGATGTTGTGTAAATTCAGAACGCGTCCGAAAATAAACTTTTTCTTTTCATTAAAAAAAGTTTTATAGTTCAACTGTTTTTCTTTCATCTACCATTTCCCTCGCGAAAAGTTGTGCGTCTCGTGCCTTGAAACCCTCACTACGCTCAGGAATCTATTTGAACCACTCGCATCGCTTCTCGGAATCTTAGCTTCCTTCGCTTGCTCAGCTTTCAATACAAGCACCCGCGTCTAACAACAACTTTGCAGCCTTGCATAACAAATAACTATCCTTCCTAGACATTGACTTACAAATAAATGGACGACGGGTCTAATACAAAAACCACCAAAAAAATGTCCCAAGTCAACCTATTTAAACGTAGTGACATGTCAAGGAATATGAAAAAGCTAAAACGTTGAATTTAAATTGTAATGTCATCGCAGTACTGTCTAATTTTGCTTGCTTCGCTGTCAGTCGAACAAACGAAGACTAAAGCGTGAATGACGCTCAGTATACGATTTTAACGCCCTATAAGTTCGGACACTTTTTAGCGCGGACCCGACGTCCATATAATTGTAAGTCAATGTTCCTAGAGTTCAAAACATTTGTCTCAAAATAAAGCGTATGCTCCTCTTATCCCACATGACCTTAGAAATAATATATTTCATTATGTAAAGAATTCGCCGATCGGTTTAAATGTACTCATTGTAATCTATTATGCGTTATTGCCTAGTTATGTTTTAAATGATGATGTAAAATCGACGCGTCTAGTGCCTTAAAACCCTCACTAGGTTCAGGAATCTATCTAATCTTAAGTTAGCCTCCTTCGCTTGCTCAAGTTTCAATACAAACACTCGCGGCAAAGAACAACTAACAAATAACTATTATTCCATTACGAATCTAGACTTAAACAATGAGAGCAAATATTGGTAACGTTGCCGTAACTTTTAAAGCACCCTTGATGTTATAAGATCACAGTAGCAGCAGTCAGTGAGCATTACTGCTTTCCGGTTTCGAAGTGTTAAAGATGCTTACACGGGACTTGTCAACTTATGTATCAAGGTGTCGGGCGCAATATTCATGGGACTTGTCAAGTTATGTCTCAGCTTATCATGAGGGGTGTCGGGCGCAATATTCTCAATAGTAAAGTGTAGAGGCGATGCAAAGATTGTCCTATTCAAACATTGACTTACAATTATATGGACGTCGGGTCCGCGCTAAAAAGTGTCCGAACTTATAGGGCGTTAAAATCGTATACAGAGCGTCATTCACGCTTTAGTCTTCGTTTGTTCGACTGCCAGCGAAGCAAGCAAAATTAGACAGTACTGCGATGACATTACAATTTAAATTCAACGTTTTAGCTTTTTCATATTCCTTTACATGTCACTACGTTTAAATAGGTTGACTTAGGACATTTTTTTCGTGGTTTTTGTATTAGACCCGTCGTCCATTTATTTGTAAGTCAATGTATTCAACGCATATTGCTTTCTATACTTGCAGCCTTTGGGTCAACTACAGCTCAATATCTCCTAGCGCCCTACGACTTTTGTTGCAGCTGCCACGATATGCAGTGCATCGGGGATGTTCGCCATAGTTAAGGTAGACGGCTTTGCCTTACCTATTTCTGCCGCCAAGCAGTAATATCAGCATTACTGTATTACGGTTTTGAAGGGTAATGGTGCTGGTGAGATTACAGGCACATGGGGCTTGTCAACTTGTATGTCAGGGTGACAGGCGCAGTGGCAGTGTCCCTCAGATTTACTCAGGTACTGTCACTGATACAGACAGACGTGTGACGGTGTGACCTCCTTACACCGTCATCTCAACTTTTTGTATCGTATATTTTTTTCTTTTGCTTGTATTTAAATTTTAAATTTCAATTGTTCCATCTTCCTTCGCTTTCTCATTTTGCTTTGTACCACGGTGATTCTCTGCGCGAGCGCGGTAGCGAAAACATCTACTTTCTTATTTTTGAACCGTTTACATTTTAAGATATTAATATTGTTGTTGTACTGAATAAATTCCTATAAACCGGACTTTCGTCTTTTCAACTGCTAAAGCATGCTAAGTAAGACGTATGGAAAATTTTACAGTCTACAGAACGTCATCAGCACCAGCAGCGCTATCACAGGCGCGTCGCTAAAGTCCAAGCACACGACGTGTTCGTCCTGTCATTTGATAACACAACTTTTTTATAAAAAAAAACGATCTCAAGTTTGCTAATCCGCTTTCGGTGTGTTTCGGTGTTAGTTTTTTGAAATCGATTAACGGAAAGTAGGTGAAATCTTATAAACCAGATTCATCCCCTAATTGCCTCCCTTACAAGTGGAATATTTCGTTCGAATGCAAATGAGACCTGAGGTACCTGTCTTTCCAACAAAAAAAGTTTCATCAAAATCGGTTCACAATAACCGCGTAACATTAAAAAAAATCCCCTCTATCATTGTGTATTAAAGGCGGCAAACAAGGAATTACGAACGAGATTATTAGAACCCCGTAGTCGAAGACTGAGGGCTTTCAGAGTCGAGGTACAATGTTTCATCACATTTACGAGATTAATACAAAGATAAATGCACGAAAAATAAATATCGCTTCACAACCAACGACATCTATGTACAACACAATAATTACAGATTTTGCAAATGAAGGATTTTGGTTTTTTTTTTCTTAAAAACAGATGGCGAGCTTCTTCCATAGATAATAAAAACAACTCGAACTAAAATGTTGTAAAAAGCAAAACCGCATGCAGCCATGATTGTAGTAAAATATAGTAAAATTGCAAATATTTAGTTTTTTATTTTCTATGCTTCAAGTTTATACGAAATACATTTAGAATTTTCGAGCATAAAATCGTTTTTTTTAATCTTGACGTTGAGACGTACAGTGCAATTAAATAAAAAAAACCATTACTTCCATAAGGCGGTAATATAATGATAAACCCCGCAGGCTTATTACCGATCTTTAGCGACCAGTCGTTTTAGCAATAGTTGCACGATTATCGCTGTCAAAACATAAATTCGTATTACGGAACGAACAATTGCGACCAGTCGACTACAGCGCCTCCCGCGAGCAACTAATAAACTAAAACTGCATGAAAATGCTTTGACAGAAAGCGACCGGTTGCTTTTTCGTATTACCGAACCGTAATACCAACTTAGCAATCGCAACTGGTAGCAATCGCGTTGCTATTGTACAATTAACAACCGGTTGCTAAAGTTCGGTAATAAGCCTGCCGTTGGCACAATTCAGGACATTGCGGTCGCCTTTGCCTGCATGCCATTACACTGTTTACGAGCAAGTGTGATGAAAAGATAATAAATTACACTGAAATCATTAAATGTCACAATAGCCCAATGCTATAACGCAGCGTTCAATCAATAGCATGCCAATAGATGTACCAATAATTGGCACCTGCCAGAGAGGAGCAGAGCTGCCAAATCGTAAACATATCTACTGCCAATGTCACGTCTACTATCATTCTTTTGCATGATAGTACACTTGACTACACGTAACTACAGAAAGTGCTATTTTAATGTAGATGACAAAACGATGCCTCACTTTCTCAAACTCGTATCTTATAAAGAGTGAATATTCAGGAGATGGCAAAACGTTATATTTATTTTTAACCGACTTCAAAAAAGGAGGAGGTTCTCAATTCGACTGTATGTTCTTTTTTTTTCTTTTTTTTTGTATGTATGTTACGCGATAACTCCGGCATTTGTGAACCGATTTTCATGATTCTTTTTTTGTTGGAAAGGGGATACTTCCATAGTGGTCCCATTGCATTTTGAAGAAAATCATCCACCTCGAAAGGTGGCTGTTCACTCATGAAGATTCATTTTTATAAATAGCGCCTAACTTTAATTTAGGAGCAATTACTTTAATGCTTGATTTTGCTATTTCTTCAATTCAAGGCGTTTTTCTCTCAATATACTTTGAGTAGTTTCGTAGTGAGAACCTATTTTTATTGTCTCCAGTGTCAAGTCCTGTATAGTGGCGAACTAGGGGATATTTCAATAAAACTTAGCAAATAGACGTAATTCCACGTACTTTTGAGGTCGGTTTTTTTAGTACTCTGTACTGAGATTATAAATTTCTTATCAAGGTTGTTAATTTTGATGGATTACTTTAAGAATAGGTAAACGCCAGTGTGTGAATATGAAGGAAATTTGATGTGAAATCATCCTGCAAAATTTATACAACCAATTTTTGCAATTTAAGTAACTTTGTTCTATATGAAACGAGTTTGAGAAACTAAACGTTACTTAGTCGATTGACATTTCTATAGAGCACTTCTGATCTTTGTGGCAGATGTACCACATGTGTTTTAGTAGAGAAGCATATGCAGCGTAGCAACACCTTATCTATTCTTCCGCCAAGCAGTAATTGCATTATACCTTTCTAACTGCCTCCGTGGCCGAACGGTTACCATGCCGGACTGCCACGCAGAGGTCCCAGGTTCGATTCCCGGGCCGGGATAAATGTTTGTATGGCCTACATTTATTTCTCTCGTGAGTGTGTGCGTTATGTTATTATATGTATATAGCGTTCCGGTTTTGAAGGGTGCTGGTAAAATTACAGGCACAAGGGACTCGTCAAATTGTGATTTACTCAGATATATGCGATTTAAAGGCTCTGAATGGCTGCAAGTTTTATGCCTCCTCACCTCACCGCGACCGTCCTACGTCCACCTTACCTATTTCTGCCGCCAGGCAGTAATGTGAACATTACTGCGTTCCGGTTTCGAAGGGTAAGGGCGCTGGAGAAATTACAGGCACACGGGACTCGTCAACTTATGTCTCAGGTTGTCGGGCGCAGTGGCAGTGCCCCTCAGATCTTTGTGCTTTAAAGCTCTGAGTGACACTGCAACTTTTAGGGACAGGCGTGACGCTTACCACCAGGCGTTCATCCCGTCACTTAATATTATAATAAAGTCCTCCCCCTCCCCTAAGGGGAGTGGGCCACATCGTCCCGTCGTCCTCCTCGTGGCTGCCAAACTTACAAACGAACGGAGCTCCCGCTACGCTGCCGTCGAGCGGGATTCGCCCTCCCCCGATCACGCTCTGCGACCTCCTTCTGGAGCTTCAACCGAGCTAACTAAACTAACCCAACGATCCCGCTAGCTAGGCAAAATATATCGCCCTCCCACGTATAGCATGTCACTACTTACTACGTAACTCCTCAACTTAGCTTTGCATGCAACTACGTGAGCTAAAGTAAGTTAGCTAGCTTCGTTCGCGGTGTGGTCTGCCCTTTATAGATAGACGTGTCGCTTACCACGCATGCGTACGACTCCACCCAAACAAACATTACGACTTCATTTTTTTTATGATAACAAGTGACTAAGTGAGTAAGTTCAAAATCCCATGTGCCTAATTAGTAATTCCACCAGCACCCTTACCCTTCTAAACCGGAACGCAGCAATGCTCATATGACTGCTTGGCGGCGGAAATAGGTAAGTAGACAGTACTTACCTAGACGAACTCTTTCACAAGGAGCACTGCGGCTACTTCAAAATCATGGAATAAATTTAAAAAAATAAACAAACGTAAACTGAATGCTGTATCCATAAGGAATAATAACGAATCTACAATAAAAATATAAATAGTAATTATAATATTTTTATAAAAAAAAACGACCTCAAAATTATGCTTACAAGCGTCTTCGCTGTGTTTTATTTTCATTGAAATTACATCTGCGCCAGGTTTTATAGAAATCGGCTAAAGGAAAGTGGGTGAAGTTCAATAAACCTGAGTCATCCCCTAATTTACCACTACCACTTTTAAAGCGTTTGTGTAATACGTCCGATTCGTATCCAGAGGTGTCTACTCTCTACCTCCGTCCGACATACGTCCGAAACAATTACTGTCAAATAAGTAATATTCGACAAAATTAAAAGACAAGTATCCAGTATGAAGCATCATTCGCATCACGCGTCTTTTCATTTGGTCAAGTATTGCTTATTTGGCAGTAATTGTTTCGGACGGATGTCGGACGGATATCGAGAGTAGACCCCCAGACGGTCCGAAATGTGACAGGGATCATTTTATCTCTAGGGCTTAGTCCACAAGCGACATCCGAAGTGGGTGCAGTTTTCTAGATTTGTAACCTCCTAAGGTCAAGGTAAGGGTACATCAAAATGTACATAATGTGTGAAATACTTCAAACCCAGACCATAAATCGGTCATTCTCGGACTAGTGTTCACTATGTAATTTCCGTGGCTATTTTGCGATATAATACTCGGATATTAAATAACATTGCACGATAAAAAAAATCGATTACTTAATTATATTGACTTACAAATAAATGGACGACGGGTCTAATACAAAAACCACGAAAAAAATGTCCCAAGTCAACCTATTTAAACGTTGTGACATGTAAAGGAATATGAAAAGGCTAAAACGTTGAATTTAAATTGTAATGTCATCGCAGTACTGTCTAATTTTGCTTGCTTCGCTGTCAGTCGAACAAACGAAGACTAAAGCGTGAATGACGCTCTGTATACTATTTTAACGCCCTATAAGTTCGGATACTTTTTAGCGCGGGCCCGACGTCCATATAATTGTAAGTCAATGCTTAATTAATAAAAACTGCCACGTAAATTAGAGAAGTAGTGATCGACTAGTCCGAGAATGATAGAAATATAAATCGTATCACGCAAATGCCCAGTGTATATTGTAACGAAAATATCGTAATCAAATTTAGCTCTTATAAATGACCATAGTTTAACCAGAAAAATGCGTTTTTCTTACAAAACTATAGCCTGGAAGTTGTGTATATATTAAATACATTTGAATGTACATTGGGCGTTTAGCGCTTTTCCCATTGTAGTTTGCTGGGTCGGAGGATAGTCTCGGATTTGGAACGAAACTTCCGAGTCCCATGTGCCTATAGTTACACCCGCGCCCTTCAAAACCGGAACGCAGCAATGCTTACATTACTGCTTAAAAATAGGTAAGGTGACCGTACTTCCCTGTAGGAAGTCTTAAATCATTACCTTGACTACAGTGAGTGGCATGGCGAAGTCTACACCTCCTATGAGTCGGAAGCCCCAGGGTTCATCTCTTTCGCGGCTTAGACGGACATCCAACTCCATCTAGCGACAAAAAAAAGTAATAACGTTTTTTGTTAATAGCAAGAGATGAAATCTCAATTTATTCTCGAAAAAAATTATATTTATTTAGATTTTTATCTAGTATTGCAAGGGGTAGCTGATTAAAAAGTTTTAATAAAAATGTTTACCTACTTAATATATTTTCAATGAACCGAAACAACGTCAATTGCTGGAAACTGCTTTGTTTTGCATTAAGAGGGAGCATGCCTAAAAAGGTTTGACGTTGGCTCCACCCACATTTGTGAGACAAATATATGCCTGAAGTTCGCGTGATATGCGACAGGAGATGTTGAAATTTGCGCATTAAAAGTACCAAATTCGTTTTAGCGGACTAACTCTAAAACTAAAGGGATTAAAAAAAATCCGTAGTGACAGTTGTCGATCATGCATAAATATAATTAATTATCTAATTTTTGTCCTAATAACCTGTAGCATTTCGAGGATAAATCGAAAATATGTGAAAATTAGAGGTCATTTCGTGATTTTTATCTATCGAGGAAACTTTATTGTTTTATGTTTCTGTTTAATGTCTATGCTTGAATATATCGTGTAGTTACTCATACAATATTTTATTTTTAACTTTAAAGTGGATATACCCCTCTTAAATCAAATCGAATATTAGGAATTTTTCCTCTGCTCCCTCTTAAGCTTTGACGCGAGTTTGCCTTAAGTAGAAGTTGTGTTGGCCAGCGATCCCATAAGTGACGATCGTATTAGATTTCAGTTTTAAACATTTCTAATTTAGAAAATCAATGCCGAATTGTGTCGGAACTGCACGTCGCTATTGACAATAATGTACAACAATTAGCTCCTTCAACGTAGTTATGAATTAATACGAAACTTAATGAGCGGATAAACGTCAAAACGGCCATCATAGCGTGCTTATACGAGGAATAGAAATAGAACTAGCTGTTCTTGACAGTAGTCTTAACAAAGTCAAAGGAGCAATGTATTCGCGTGTATAATAAGACTACATGGCGCGCGTTGCGCTGGGCCGCTAAGTCTGGTTAGGAGGTGGAGTTTTTGTTTCAGAACCATTGACTTACAATTATATGGACGTCGGGTCCGCGCTAAAAAGTGTCCGAACTTATAGCGCGTTAAAATCGTATACAGAGCGTCATTCACGCTTTAGTCTTCGTTTGTTCGACTGACAGCGAAGCAAGCAAAATTAGACAGTACTGCGATGACATTACAATTTAAATTCAACGTTTTAGCTTTTTCATATTCCTTTACATGTCACTACGTTTAAATAGGTTGAGTTGGGACATTTTTTTCGTGGTTTTTGTATTAGACCCGTCGTCCATTTATTTGTAAGTCAATGTTCAGAACTGAATTTTTTTTGGAGTTAGGTTAGTGTGGGACCAGGATTCTACCCAGCACACGCTGGAAAAGTTTTTCTGTTTAAAAGAATCCGGTTTATTTGACTCTTTTCAGAAATAGAGACGAAATAAGGGCCATCCCTGGCAACTCATCTGGCAAATAGGCCTTATATCACTTTTAAATACCAACTCTCGTTTGCGCTGAAATCACAAATTAGAAAGCTGAAATAGTGCAGCGTCAACAAGTAACCTGTGTGTACGTCTCCGTATATTCCAAAAATGTTCTGTATTTATTGTAATAAAGATAATATCTCTAACTATTGGGGCTGTTCAATTCGATGGTGTCTGAAAAACAGCAAAACATCTAATTACAAAACAAACGGAATCACATTTCAACGGTAAGTAAATATTAAATAAGTAATTATCAAATTTTCGTCCATTATAGCAAAACTCAAGTTAAACTGGACGATTTGAAGTAAAACAATTGACGACACCCATCACTTGTTTGAAACAATTGACGACACACAAAAAAACTTAATTCACGCAAATTAAGATGGTTATTATTATATTTACAGATCTTCCCCCGGACCTGGAGGAAGAATCTTCTGCGGAAGTAGACGACGACGGTGACGACAAACCCTCCAGCACTACAGCTGGTTCCAAGGCACTACGACGTCCAAGAAGGAGACGAAACCCAGTCGCCAGATCGTCCTTTGACTTGGTCAAAAAAATAAATTGCAATATTTATTTCAACATCATAGATCGATTGAGACTACCTGCAATAGCTAACCTTGTAAATAACCTCTAGTATGAAGTTTTTATTTAACTATAATAGTAAATAGCAAATTTTAAATATCAACTTAGTGGCACTGCGACTGTTATGGATAGATTAACTGCCTCTGTGGCCGAACATTCTATTATGCTGATCTGCCACGCAGAGGTCCTAGGTTCGACTCTTGGGCCGGGAGAAATATTTGTATGGCCTACATTTATGTCACTCGTGAGTTTTGATGTAATTTGTGGTTGTCTATGTGTGTCCATGGCACCCGCGATACAGAGTTTCCCTAGTGTGGGGCCAAAAAAAGCCACCAGGCGCAGGAGTTTTTCGTGCCGTTATTTAGTATTAGAAAAAAAAATGGAGGCTAGCTAATTAGTGATCTCTGCCACGTCATTCTTATTATTATTAGTATATAGCTGGGTGCGTTATAGTGCAGGTAGTAATTTCAAAAGTTTTCAGATCGATGGCAGGAAACATTCAATAGTCATAATTAAAACTTACGTTCATAAAGAAAAGTTAAAAATTCCAATAGTGAACAGTTAAATACACTCACAGTTAACTGACTTCACGATCGTTTAACTAATACTAACTGTTGGTTAGTTTTGGCACTGAGTACTCTGGCCCAATTTCTTTTATTTAGGGTACCTAGATTAGAATTCGTCTATAAATAACTTTGACAGTGAAAAACTTTCTTCGGTTAACTATTTAGTTTATAATAATAAAACCGATAAAGACATCAGTGAATATGTTCATTGTGCATGCGAATTCGGCAATTCGGAGAGTGTTAACGCGTATACGGTAATGACATCTACCGGAAAGTATTTACTACAGCGATGTCGTTTAACGTTTTTTTTTTGTAATTTTGAACTGTCGAGTCACTCATACGGCAAACTCTGTAACAGACGTTCCTAAACAATATACGAATATTTTTACAAGATATAATAAAGCCATTTATTTCGCCCCGTGTTGCATAGAAGCTTACTACAGGGAACGAGTGGACAAAGGAGAAGATAAGAGGCTGACCACAGCGACACATACACACACTAACTGAGAGCATTAGAACTTATTGTGAAAAAGTTCGCCCAGGAAACTAGGTACTGTCAACTTAAGAGCCGAAACACAAAACTGCGAATGAGCGCGATGCGAATTAGCAGTTTTGTGTTGACTTCGTGCGGCCAGGCATCTCACTGCCACGGTTCGGGTAACCATTCCTATGGGGTGACTCCACAGATTCTGACAGGGTATTCATTATTCAGAAACGAGCAATGGATAATGACCATGTCTTCGTTGTTCACTTACACAACTTTGAAAGGCATGATAGCCGTTATAACACCCGCTCCACAGGACGACTGAGGGTCGTACCGCGACGGTTAGCACTCACTGAAAAAAATCCGTGCGTAATCGGCCCGGCTTATTATGAGCACCTACCCGTTGACTTAAAAAATGAGCCTAATGATGAAACATTTGATCGTCGACTGAAAGACTTTTTGTTGGATAATGCGTATTGATCCACTGAAGAATATAGGGACATGGTTTTGTAATATATGTTGTAATTTATAGATTATTAGGTATAAATATTGTTTTATAGAAATGAATAAATATAATATCAAAAATTAAACCCATTCACAAAAAAGGCGATACAAGTGACCCCGCTCAATACCGACTTATCGCGTTGCTACCTACCTTTGCAAAAATCATCGAAAAAACTGTTGCAAACAAACTTTACTCGTTTTGTGAAAAATTTAATATATTCAATGAGAGTCAGTATGGTTTCAGGAAAAAGAGATCTACAACCTTGGCCCTATATAAATTCGTAGACGAAATCCTTAATATAATAAATAATAAAAGTAATGCAATCGGTATCCAACTCGATATGAGTAAGGCTTACGACAAGGTGTCCTATAGGATAATGCTATCCAAACTGTATGGTATAGGAGTTAGGGGTTTGTCACATAAATGATACCTCTCTGACCGCAAGCAATATGTCCAGATAGAGTTCCATGACCCCCAAAAAAGATTGATACAAAATGTAGATTCTGACAAAACCCACATGTTGGGGTCTATCCCACAAGGCAGTGTGCTAGGTTGTTTGCTTTTCATTATATATATTAACGACCTCCCCAAAAAGTTCGATGAACACTGCGTAATCTTTGCAGACGACATCTCAATTGTGTTCCCGCTTAAAGACGACAAAAATACATTAACATCCCGACTTGAATACATCCTAAATAAAGTGACTAACTGGCTTAAAGTACATAATTTGGAATTAAATATTGAAAAGACAAAACTTATGCAATTCCACCCTTACCAAAGGAGCAATGTCGATATCAATTTCTCATATAACAATAGTCATATAGAATGCGTCGACGTAAATAAATTACTGGGCCTAGAGATGGATACTCACGTAAACTGGAAGGCACATATCCAAAAAATATGCTCTAGAATGGCAAGCTTCACATACGCCTTATTGCAATTAAAAAAGACCACAGACCTAAAGACGGCCCTGTGTGCATATTATGCGTATGCTGATGCGTGGCTCCGATATGGAGTGGAATTATGGGGCAACAGTACGAACGTAGGTGAGGTTTTTATATACCAAAAAAAATGCATAAGAATACTATCCAATATAAAGCCAACAGAAAGCTGTAAATCCCATTTTAAGAAATTAAATATACTAACACTACCATCGTTATACATCCTACAAATGATTAAATTTATAAGGAACCATAAACACCTATTCCCAAATTAAAATAAGCCAATAACTCTACGACCCAGACACAGGATACCGGTTCCACGTTCAAAATTAAAAATGCACAGTTCTGGCCCCCATTTTATGTGCATAAAAATTTATAATAAGGTCCCAAAATGTATAAAAAATGAAACTA